GGACTCCCCAAGCGCGGCGGGGGCAGAACAGAGGCAGCGGCCGGTCTGAGCCCCCGGCGGGCGGCGTCCGAGCAGTGTCCAGAGGGCCCACGAGGCGTGCCTCCAACCTGCCCCGGCTGCGAGTGGCGCCTTCCGCGCCTCGCCTAAGAACACGCAGGTCCCCCCCGCCTCGCCGCCGGTCCGCGCTTTCTAGAACAGCCTCGGCATTTCCAGCCGGAGCTCCGCGGCCGCTTCCTCCTCCCCTTTTTTGCTGATGCGCTCGGCGTTCTGCGCTCCTATTGAGCCGCTGCCACGTCCGAAACCCCGCCTCTGGCCTCCTCCTTGGCCCAGACGCGGGCGCGCGCCCCCCTCCCCTCCCCTCCCGCCCGCAAGCATCCAGACTCTGCCGTAATGCTTCAAATAGCCGCCTCCGCCCGTGGTCTTCCTCGGAAAAGAGTTGCGGCGACGGAGCTTGGCTTGCCCCGGGGCCCGCTTGGTGAACTGACGCGGCTGTTCTCCACCGGGCATCTCTGCCTTCAAGAGAGATACTTGAGTTTTGACTTCTTTTTAAATCGGACAGTGCGCGCATGAAATGGAAGCGTTTTGTGCTGGGCATGGAAGAGGCTCCCACAAGTACGCAGAGAGACTTCTTCCCTGGTCTTGCCTCTTAGGTCCGGCCAGAATGGGCAAAGTACAATCTGGGGCTGCACGCTGTCCCTAAGGCTGTTTCTGTGGCATCGTTTCCTGCCCCAGTCCTCCCAGAGGCTTCCAGGAGCAGTGATTCGCCATTAAACTGGGTTACAGGAGACCCTGTACTGTTTAACACTATAGACATTTCTCAAAACTGGAAGTAGTTTTGTAGATTCCAACATTTTGTTTACTTTGGATGGTCTACCTGCTTCCCTCCTCTCCTGCCCACATCATGTAACCAAAAAGTATGAAGGAAGCAACAAGAGTTGTGTTTGAGGACTCTTTCCAGTGGGAAATGTGTACCCATTTAAGCTCCTTTTCAAGACAATGCTCCACCCTCCAGCTGACTTTTTTTAATTTTTGATTTTTTGCTTCATACAGCTTTTCTTTTTCAAGGCCCTTCTATCCTTCCCTAAATGGCTGGTTTATTTATTTTATTATGCACATATATTTGGTCCTCTTTGTTCCAGGAGGCACAGCTTGGCCATGGTGATGCTCCATAACCACAAGCAGAGCTGGAGATGGTGCAATCTGAAACGATTTCCTTCCAATCAAAACTTCAGACACTTCGTAGGGTCATGTGACCCATTCATAGCAACAGAGTTCAAGATTGAGCAATATTTCTTTGGAACACTAAAAAATTATATGACAAGCCTTCAAGTTCTCCAGAACTGTTCATGTGGCAAAGATGGTTTAAAACGTAGGGTTAAGGCAATTAGTTCTAAAATTGGGCCATATGTAATAACTGTCTCAGGAAGCCAGACGGCCAACAAAGCAAAGTGGATTTAGATTTGTCATAAGACCGAGGTAACAAAGGTGTCACAAAAGAGGGGAAAATATAGACATGAATCCTACAATATACACATAAATCCCATGCTCTTCCAGGACTAGGGGGGGAAGCAAAGGAAGGGCAGGGCAAAAGCCCCATCTGAAAGAGCCCCAAGTAAGAAAGCCACAGATGAGAATCAAAGCGCTTCCAAGGTAAACACCATACAGCATTTTAGATTCTAAGATGACAACCATATTTTGAAGTGTTATCAGACCTTGCTCACGATCTGATCTACATACAGTTCTTGTTCTTGTTGTTATGTGCTGTCAACTCACCTCCAGCTTACAGGGATGAATGAGTTGTATCCAAAATATCCAGTCGTCAACAGCCCTGCTCGATTCTTGCAAATTCAAGCTTGTGTGTTCCTTTACAGACAATCAATCTCATAGTTAGTCTTCCTCTTTTCCTACTGCCTTCATCTTTGCTCAGCATTATTGTCTTTTCCAGAGAATCCTGGCTTCCCATGATTTGCCCAAAGTAGGACAGACAGCCTCAGCTTCAACCTCTTTGCCTCCAGAGATAGTTCAGGCTTGATTTGCTCCAGGACCCAGTTCTTTGTCTTTCTGGCAGTCCAGGGCATCTACAAAGCTCTACTCCAGCACCATATTTCAAATGAATCAGGTAGTGGTTTTTTTCTGACAGTTTTTGTTACTGTCCAGCTTTCACTTTTTCTGACAGTTTTTGTTACTGTCCAGTTTTCACACACATACAAGGTGATCAAGAGTGTGGATGATCTTGGCCTTGATCTCCAGGGACTTATCCTCACACTTGGTGATCTTTTCTAGTTCTTTCTTAGTCTTAGTCCTCTTTTGATTTCTCTGCTGCAGTCTCCATTTGGATTGATGATTGAACCAAGGTATGCAAAATTTCTATTTCAATTCAATTTCTTCAATGTCAGCATTAAAGTTGTATACTTATTCTGTAGTCATGATTAGACATGGGAGCGTCATATTTGTATCATGGGGGATATGAATACAACGCTCGGCACATGACAATCTGTTCCCACCCCTCAGAACCAGCCTCGTCCACTCACTGGGCTCCTCGCAGTTCACGCGTCCAACAGTGGTGACATTGCATCCATTGCAGAAGTAGCCCCACTGGCACTGGCCCGCCTCTCCCCACAGCTCACCATTCAGCAGCTGAGCGGCTTGTCAGCTGTGGGAAAAGGTGGGGCACCACTTGCGGGACTACTACTGCAGTTGGCGCCATGTCTCTGCCATTGGATACATGCGCTGCAAGGAGCCCACTGAGTGGATCAGGCTGGTTCTGGGGGACAGGAATGGAGCACCGTGGCACCTGTGGTGCCGAGGGTTGTATCCATAACCCCCAGGATATGAATATGAAGCTCCCATGTCTTGTCATGATTTTTGTCTTAATGTTCAACTGCAGTCTTGCTTTAGCACTTCTTTCAGTTTCACTAAAAGTTGTTTCAAGTCAGAGAGATGGTATCATCTGCCTATCTTAATGTTTCTCCCACCAATTTTCTCTCCTCCTTCATCTAAATTATCTCAGTCTAATTTGTCATTTTGTATGCTATGTTCCGCATACAGACTGAACAGATAAGGGGACAACAAGCACCCTTGCCTGACACCTTTGCCTAGAGGAAACCATTCTGTCTCTCCATATTCTGTACTAACTGTAGCTTGCTGTCCACAATACAGATTATGCATGAGGACAATCAAGTGCTGAGGCACACTCATTTCTATCAGAACAACCCATAGTTTCTCATGATCTACGCAGTCAAAGGCTTTGCGATCTACACAGTCAAAGGCTTTGCTGTAGTCAGTAAAGCATAGACTGACCCTCTTCTGAAACTGTTGGTGTGCTCTAGTACTAAAGCATAGACTGATCTTCTTCTGAAACTGTTGGTGTGCTCTAGAAGCCAGTGGATATTTGCAATATGATCTTGAGTGCTTCCCCAGGGCCTCTTCCTTTTCAGAGTCCAGCTTGAACATCGGGCATTTCTTCTTCCAAATAAGGTACCAGTGGACATCTTGAGCATCACTTTGCTTGCATGGGAATTTAAAGCAATGGTCCTAGAGTTACTGCACTCCTTGGCATCTCCTTTCTTGGGAACTGGAATGTATACAGAATATTTCCACACTGTGGGTCATCAATTTATTTTCCATATTTGTTGGCATGTTCCTATTACGATTTCAACATATTCGGACCCTGTGGTTTAGAAAAGTTCTACTGGTATTTCATATACTCTTGATGATTTATTTCTTCTTCGTGCTTTCAGAGCAGTTTTCACTTCACTTTCTAGAACTGCAGGTTCTTCATCATAGTATTCCTCTTCGAAGAAGTCTGTCATCCTTTCATCTGTACTTTATAGGTCTTCAGTATATTGTTTCCACCATGTTTATTTTCACCTAGTTCCTCTTCAAAGAAGTCTGTCATCCTTTCATCTGTTCTTTATAGGTCTTCAGTATATTCTTTCCACCTAGTTTATTTTCACCTAGTCAGATAATGTCCTTCCCTATTGGTCATTCAGTATTCCTAGTCTAGGCTTAAATTTCTCTTTCATTTCTTGGATCTTATGGAAGAGATCACTTGTTTTTTCCTTTTTGTAATTTTCCTCTGTTTACTTGTACTGGTTGTTGTATTATTCAAGTCTGTGCTGCAACTACCAATGGTGAATAAGATGAAATTGAAAGCTTTTATGCAAGCATCCAAGAGAAAATTGATCACACTCCAAAACATGTTTATAATCATAGGTGACTAAACCACAAAAGTAGAGAACAAAGCAGAATGAAATGTTGCTGTAAAATTTGGCCTAGGGGACATAAATGAAGCAGGAGAATGCCTCTTAGAGTAAAGCCAACAATCTGTTTATTGCAAATACATGCTTCAGACAACTAAACAGATGATTGTAGATGTGGACATCACCAGATGGTCAATACAGAAAACAAGTAGACTACATAATTGGAAGCAAGAGATGGAGAAACTGTATTCTCTCAGCCAAAACAAGACATGGAGAAGATTGTGGTACTGATCATGAATTGTTAATATCCAACATCAGAGTA